TTTTTTTTTTTTTTTTTGGGGGGGGGGGGGGGGGTTGTTTTACATAATTATCAACTTTCACCCATTTTACAGAAGATGTTGGAGGAGATGGATGTGGGGGGGGAGCAGAAAAATAAATAAATAAATAACGGGCTGAATCCCATTAGAGGCAGAAAAGGCAGAGTTGATCTGGTGTTTAGTCTTCACGGCCCTCCTCTCCCTCTGCATTGTCTCAGCTGTGAATGAAGAAAGGAAGCGCGAGTGAGATGGAGGGGGCTAAGGTCGTTTGGAAGAGGGTCCGCTAAGGGTTAAAAGCGTCGCTTTGAATGACAAAGACCAAACAGTTTACCCTCGTATTCAGCCCGGCATGCATTCATCCTGTTCTCAATAGTTAGGGGGTTATTTTGGCTCCTCTCTGGTACCTGCTCCCACTTGGTATTCCCCATAGGGAGACGGTGGGGTTGTTGGGGAAAGAGGGGTGGAGGAGGGGATCACTGGATGCACAGTGTTGGTTGTTTTTTTCTGCTTAAAAAAATTATTTTTCTTCAAGTCCTTTTTTATTTTTAGCTCCACGTAGATTATCCAAGAGAATTATTCAACTGATAAACCAAAAAAAACCAAAAAAAAACTACAAACTGGTTCAGTGAAAATATTTGTTTATCCATCGAGCAGTTGCAGCAATTTGGCAGGAGGAGGAGGATGGGATATGAACTGGAAAGAGAGAAACCAGGGAGGGGGGGAGGCAGAGCCGCTCTCTTTGTTGGTTTTAGCCACCGTGGCCCCTGCGGTTCATGGTGTTGTGGGGCAAGGGCGGCCCATTCACCCTGCTCACCAAGGCAGAACGCAGCACAGGAAGACAGGAAGGAAGCGGGGCTATTCTTTATAGAAGCATTGTCTGTCCGTCTGATGGGGCCAGGCTGAAGCAATCAAACGGCCCTGTGAGAGACGGGAGGCTGAGGGGGGCTGAGGGGGTGAGGGCCCACCGTTTGCCTGGTGATGACGGAGATGTGCTCCTCTGTCAAAATATACAACAAAAAAAAATAAAAGAAAGCAAAACGCGTCTCTTTCTACTTCCTTTTGCTGGTCAAATTTGGGAGAAAATCAGAAGGTCAACCCACAGTTTGAGTTGACTTTAACCTCTAGGTTTAAAATTGTAACAGGAAAACCAAACTGCAGGAAAAACTATTTTTCTATTTTGAAAGAAAAATAAAATTATTTTCTTTGTTTTTTATGCTCTAAGGAAGGGGTGCAAAACTCATTTAACGTGTAGATAAAACCAATTAACAAAAAATGAACAAATAGCTGCAGGCGGTATTAATCAAAATTAAATAATATTTCACTTATTGTAGTTTTGCAGGATA